GAATTTTGTCCCTCAAAAAAGGACATAAGTGATCTGCAAAATTTTATATGCTAAATACTTTAGGGACCCATCATTAGGCATAACACACTAACATTTACCTCTTGGATAAACTGCAGCAAGTTGCAGAGTTTGAAAGATACTGAGTCATTAGTTTTTTCTCTATCATATGTGTATTTTCTCACAATTAAATTTGTGTATATAAAAGTGTATTTATGATTAAATAAAACTATATGGTATAACTTCACTATATAAGTAAATATATATATATATATATATATTATTCATTATATTATATTGATATCACATTCATCAACTCTTTTTCGCACATCGGTGGCACAGCAAAACACTTCCACTGACCCCCGGACAAAAGCAAAAAAGTATGTACTCGCAAAGGATGCTTCACATCCACAATGCAACCTTTCGCCCAAACTACAACGAGGAAGCCCTAGCAAAGGGCCCAGTCAGCCCCAAAGCCAAACTCAAACAGATAACAACAGAAGAGAAACCCAATATCATGGAAAAAACTGCAAGACCGGTGAAGGAAAACCTGACAAATTTGGAACTCACCTTATTTCAGATGCAACAACTTTAAGCCCGCGGCCCCCAAGCCATCACAAGAACGAATGACTTCAGCTCATCATTCTGTAACGATAGCTTTGAAGAGAAAACTGACTCAGCAAAAAATAATACAGGCATAGCAGCATCCCATGAAATGGGAAAAGAACTCCAGACCCCAACCTTACATCACACGAATGGCCATGAACCCGATGGACTCAGACACAGAAATGAGGCTGGAAAATGAAAACGAGACCAGCCAATTTGAAGCAACCAGAGACGCAAATGAACGGCACGAAGACTGGGCCACCTAATCAAACAAAGGAAAAACCAAGGAAAAAGTAGAAACACGCCCCCAAAACAGCAAACCCACCCAAGGTCCCCCTTTGACAGAAGTGCGAGATACAGGCACGAGAGAACCAAACTCAGCATACAGGCCAGTAAAATCCCTGGCAAACTCACACACCACAAGATAACCTATCTATCCAAGGCTTTGAACTCTCCCAAAGACCTGATCAGTATCCGCAGCAAGAGATCCGATAATCAGAAGTTCATCACTGCCCTTTTTAGCGATCCACAATCAGCCGAGGATGTCAGCAGCATATACTTACCAGAAACGGACAACCTAACACTGGAACATATGCCAGACATGAGAAACATAACCAACAAGGTTAACAGTATTACAGTCTGGGATATCCCCCTGGATACAACCTTCCATAACATACAACAGACTTTTGCAAAATTTGACCAGATCAGCAACATCTCAATCGCAACACAACATATATAGCAGTCAGCCACTGTTACATATATAAACAACTCAGACAAGCGCAAGCTCCTGGAAAATTGGAGCATTCAGTGCAAAGCAGATTCACTAGGATCTTCGACTCAGAATGGTCCCTCCAACAAATGAAAGATAGAGGCAGTTTCTCCCTCAAACTCACCAACCTTCCCCCAAACACGAACGCATTTGACCTGAGACATATATGTCAACAAGCAAGAAGCAAAACATGCTACATTCCTCAAAGAATGAACTACAAACGTAAATGCTACGCTGTAATCAGTTTTGAAAATGAGCAAGACATGTAGCTAGCTACCATAACAAACTATACCCTTGGAGAAACGATCATCGAATAGCAGCCAATTGACACCAAATTATGTGCCATTTGTGATTCCGCCTCCCATTTGGCAAAAACTGTCATATCAAAGTAAGAAGACAACAATGGTGAAACTACAAACAAGAACAAGCAGAGAGATTCAGCCAACTGTACACACGTTTCAAACCTGCCAAAACTACAAACATCAGGAGGCTAATGGAGAGAAAAAACAATACAAAACCCACATGCCAGAGCTCTTATGCAATAGCAGCCAGACCCAAGCAAGATCCATTTCAACATTCAGCAGTCTAGAAGAAACCCTTTGTTAAATTCTTCACAACATACAAGAAATTAAAGAAGAAATCACCAATATTAAAGAAGCAGTAACAGAACTTGATGAAAGAATTGTAAACCTAGAAAACTGGGATAAGAATTACAACTCCAATATAGACAAAGACTCACAAGTAACTCAGGACACTGACAGCTTAGAACACACAGACAGTTAAATGTATTACATCCAACAGCAACAGCACCAACTGCGAACATTGATAGGCAACATGGATAGAACAATGACCGCCCTAGTCAGTACCATCTCTGATCTCATTCCCAACAACAGAGGAAACACACCACACAACAATCAACATTTATAAACATGGGGAACCAAAATAGTACTAACAACTCCAACAAAGCTACAGCTAATTATCAAAAGAACTGCAAAACACAAAATATTGATACAGAAGACTATTATAGTCATAACTCCCCTCAATAAATACATAATAAGAACACAAACAGTAACAGAAACAATATAGATAAGACACACAATATAATACACAATATTCAGAACAGTTCTACTGAGCACAAACCTATATGGAAACTCTCAACTTTTAATATACAAGGTATATCTGAACCACACAAAAAAGACACCTGGTTCAATTTCTGTGCAGCAATGACCTGGGATATTATAGTTACCATAGAAACCAACGGATCACACCATCTTTCAAAGCATTGGGGACATGAGAAATATCAAACTATCTGGACACATAAAGAATCACAAATACTAGGACAAGGCCTCAATATAATGATAAATAAAGACATCACGCACTGGATATACAAATACAAAACCCTAGCAGGCAGAATTATCACTACAGACCTAGCTTTCCCACATAAAGAAAAAATGCAAATAATAGGTGTTTACTTCCCGGCACAAGATATTGACCGGGAAAAAACCACTGTAACAATACCTTCATCAAATGGATAATAGAAGCAACAGCAAATGGCTAGCACCTGATCGTAATGGGTGATTTAAACGGGGTACCCAACCCAACTATAGACAGATGCGGCTCCAAAGAGAAGCCTGGATACTGCACCCCTCAGACAAACAAATTCTGACACTGATCAATAATAGACTGGAGGATACTTACAGAATACATTATCCTGTGACCAAAGAGTACACCTGGAACGGAGGGGCCAGAAGCAGTAGAATAGATCAAATATGGATCAACCCTAAGGCAACCAGGCAATCAAGGAGTGCGTCAATTAAAAACTACATCAACCCCCTAATCCAAAGTGATCACGTTCCTATAATAACTGAAATGGAAGTCTGGAGCATAGACAAATCCAAAAAAGCACTGTTTCATAAACCCAACTATAGGTATAATTGGCAACTCACAACTTTAAAACAATGGAAAGATTTCAGTGAACAGATTGAACAGAAATTCAGCAATGAAACATGAGCAGTAACAATCAATCAATAAATCAAAGGTGGAACAGTTTCTGTAACATTATCTAGAAAGCATCTAAACAATATATTCGAAGAAAGAAGACACATCTCAAAAACAGACAACAACTGCACCACGTAGCACTTCAAAGAATCAAGATACCAAACAAAATCATTAAAATTCTCCTCAACATCTTTTAGCACAGAGAGAATAGAGTTCTAATCTGTCACGGCTTAACCAAGTGCTATCAAGTCAGAGATGGCATAGATCAAGGGGATACCATATCCCCCATACTTTGGAGAATATTCTATGATCTATTCTGTACATGGTCACATCCCAGCACAAGGATTACACAATAAACTCAAAAGTATGCTCAAACCTCAAAATCGGATGGGAGAAGAAATCAACTAACATCGCAGTCAGCACCTACATGGATGACACAACATGGATAACAAATAGCAAAGCAGACCTTCAGAGAATAATATATACTGCTGAAGAATTTTACCATATAAATAACATTGAAATCAATCCTCAAAAATCACAACAGATAATCATCAATGGTCTAAAAGAAAACTTCCAGCAAGGAGTCATAATGAACTGCCAAAGAATCAAAAGATACCCTTCCAACACACTGGTCAGAATTTTAGAGGTATGGTTTGACAGCTCAGGAAGGAAAGACTACCAAAAATATCTCATAAAGCAGAAAGTAGCCAACACACGAACACTAATAGGCATGAAGAGAGTAACTGACAAACAAACCCAATACATAATCAACCATGTCCTGATACCTAGCATAGAATACTTATGTAATGATATCATACTGACAAAACAAACATGCAACCAGTTAATGAGCAAGATAGCTTCCACTTTCAAACACAAGATAGGTCTTACAAACACAATCCCAAACAATATGCTCTACAACAGATATGAATACTACATTATGCACATCTGGGACAGACAAACACAATTACACGCAAGCAATTGATGCACCAGAATCAACAAACAAAACATTATAGGAGAAATTGCAAGACATCGACTTCAAGCACTACAAAACATGTACTGGTCTACCAAAGAAATCTACAACAGTATACAAGCCTTCTTCCTAGAACCAGGAAGGAACTTCACCCATGACACAATTTGGTTGCTCAGAACACATGGCTTCACCTTTCAAAAAACACAATCTAGCAACTTCCTAATCATCATGAAAATGAACACCACCATTGAAGACATCACAGATACAGACTTCTATAAGAAAATCTGCCCTAACCTAAAAAAATACAACATCATATTCACAGGACAACTCCTAAATAGCAGCAAGAAAAAACTCCTCAACTGGTATCAAGTCATCAGGCTGCACAATAGAGCCCTACCTGGTCCTACCCCTACCTGGTTCTTCACCCTCCAATGGCAACTGCAAGATTGGTTACTTACTACCAATATGCAACAACAAACTGAAAACAACTCATTCCTCCAATATATACCTACAACTCAAACGAACACTGCAAAACCATACTGGATTGCAACAGAAATCAATGACACAATAATAATTGGTAGAAAGCAAAAGAAGATTAATGCCAGTGAGACCACATACAGGCACTACACTCAGGAACCCAATGAATCTCCACTTACAGAATGTATAGAATGTGACATCAATCAAAACAAACAACCTATCTATCCTTGCACCTTCAATATCGTAAAAAGAAACTCAATAACAATATCGCTACAGCAGAGTCGAAACTCTACAAGAATAAACATAATAAATACAACCAAACTCAGAAATAAAGCCTCACCCAACTCGATTAGTATGGCACTCCAAGCTCACTCCCAACAAGAAAGAATAGAGATTGAGCAAAGAACAATCAGTCACAGACCCACACAAGACATGCCTGAACAAATTCCTCAAGGCACCCAAGCCAGTGATAGAGGAATTAGCAGACATCACCAAACAGGTACAAGAAGAGATCAACTTTGAAATCTATACAGATGGATCATTGTCACAACACCAGAAAAAGAATTATATGGGTTTCAGATGGGTCATTATAACCAGAGGAAACCAAGAAATATGTTTCCAAGGGCAAGTGGAGAACTTCCTTTCATCAATCCGGGCTGAGCTAATGGCCATTCTGACAGCTACCAGCACACTGCCTCCATTCAGTAGAGCAAACATCCATACAGACAGCCAAGCTGCAATTAACAGTATCCACAAGGTTACTCAAACTGACCAC